AAATAAATAAAATGTGAGAAGTTACACTTAAGTAGATAAAAGTTCACATAAAAGAATATGGCAGCAATTATTAATTCTAAAGGGGAAAGGAATTCCATAAAGCTATAGTTTGAACTGGACCTTGCATATGGACTGGTTTCCCAGGGTGGAAAGGGAATTTCAGGTAAAGGGAGCAGCATGGACATAAGTACTCAGACATCAAAGTACATTGCATAGTGAGAGAAATTAACAAACTTGGACATTAAGTAGATTCCTTGTTAGTAGATCTAATAGAAAAAAAGCAGGTATTATATGCCTATCATATGGAAGAACATACTACCATTTAAGATAATCTTTTCTCCCCAATTAAACAATCATATCAAGGCTCTAGAACTCACTGTCAATTATCCAGAAAATACAGAGGTGCAATTAGCACAATCCAAACTAGGAAACTATAGGACAAATAAATTGCAAGAAAAAAATGAGGGACTAGGGCAACTGGCATTCGAACCCATTACACCTAATCATTCAAAGACATTACACCTAATCACAATGTATGGATCATAGGCACATACAAATTAAAACTAAAAAAGTATGTGATTAGAAATTTGAATGCTCACTGGATACTTGATATAAATTTTCTGGCATAATAATGAATCTTTAGTTACTTCTTCCTAATGTTCTTTATTTTTTAGAGCTATATGCTGATACATTTACAGATGAGATAATGGCAGGAGGGATTATGTAGGAGTTTGAATGAAACAAGACTAACCATGAATTGGTAATAATTGTAGCAGGTGGTACATGAAGGTTCACTTCATTATTCTGTCCTACTTTTATAAATCTCCATAATAATTTTATTTTATATTTTTAAAGGAGGCCAAGGACTCTACATCATTACCTTTAACTGTTAAATCAAACCATCCCTTCAGGATTGGTTTCCCATGAGATAATTTTCATAACTGAGACTGTGAAATTAGGTATATCTATACAGAAACACTCTGCATATAAGCGAGAATTAATCTCATTTTGAGAATTATTTATATTCTGAAGTTATTCTATTCAAGTCACTTTTCACTATGCTTCATCCATAGCACCCAGTCAGCAAAAACAGCAGTTATTAACAAAGGCAAGTAAAATAAGACATCTCAAAATTAAATCAACTTTTAGCCATCTAAATTGAAATAAACGTATCTATGACAAAGGTTCAAGAAAGGCCCTGGCCGGTGTGGCTCAGTTGGTTGGGCATCCTGTGCAACAAAGTGTTGCTGGTTCAACCCCCAGCCAGGGCACATGCCCAGTTGCAGGCTCCATCGCTGGTAGGGCACAGGAGGCGGCCAGCCTATCAGTGTTCCACTCCCACATCAATGCTTCCCTTTCCTTCTCTCCCTTCCTCTCTAAAAATCAATAAAAATATTTAAAAAAAAGAACCCCCAAGGGTTTATACAGTAAAAGTTTTTGTAAACTATGTTTGGTTTCAAGCTCATCATGGAAATTTATCACTACTCAGTGGAAAAAAAAAAAGTACAACTTACTGGAAGAAAACAAAGTATTTTTAAACACTGTATACTGTGTATACTATTTTAAAGGTTCTTTCATGCATGAATTTTTATTGGTATAATCAGAGGGAAACCAAATTTAATCCATTCAAAATGTTACTGAAATTAGGAATTGCTGCTTGCTCTGAAATTAAACTTAAAGTTTAGAAAAATAATTATAATTTTATAAGTGAGACAGAAAAAGGGAGGTGATAACAATTAGCAACAAGGGTGTTTAAAACCAAAGTAGCTCATAAGCAATAAGTAAAAAACACTAAATGCCAACTTTAAAATATCTTATTAAATATGTTAATTCTAAATTGAAAGTCAATGTATAAAATTTGAATTATGCAAAGTCACAGCAAAAACATTTAAAAATTGCTAGGGCTAGAGAGTAAAGATAATTAGTGATAGAAAACGTATTCATGATGTATACATGAGATAGGAATTAAATGATTAATTAAAAACAAAGTATATAATGGCAAACATTCCAACTTGGACACTCCCTGAACTTTAACTGTATCCTTAACCTGATAGACTTATTTGAAAAGAAAATAATTTGATTTCTAAATTCCACAAAACATCATTAAAAAACTACGTTACACACACAGACACACGCCAGCAAATATCATAATAAGGACAAAGAAGGCTTGTTATAGAAATATGCCTCTAAAGAATTTTAAAAAAAAACAAACTTTAATTTATTGTATAGCTATTGGGGCTAACACCTGATAAGTAACTTGGAATAAAAAAAAAATACTAGTACTAATTAAAATTCAATCCAAACCCAATATAAAAAAAATTTCAGAAAGCTTTTTATAGATGATACATTTCTAATTAATAAGCAAACAGGAAAAATAATTTGATCGATAAATCATTCCTATCTTAGAATTTAAAATTCAATAGGGGTTCTTCCTTTGTTCTATTTTACATTGATTACTTCTACATATAACAATGTCTTATTTGTTCATATACCTTGTTTTAGCAGTATCTACTAAAAGCAAAATCAAACTCAAATCAGATGTTTTCACATATAAAATGGCTACATTCTTCTCAATTTCTGTACTTATACATTGTACTTCCTACAGTCCTTATGTTAAACATTTAGCCAATGTTATTTTTATAAAACTTTTCACTATATGGCTGTTAGAAACAATTTAGAATAAGTAGGACTTACTACTGAAAAACCTTAATGGTTTCTTTAATATTAGACTTATCAAATAGAAACCTTTTAGGCACATGGTAAAATACTAAATTACAAAACACTTCTTAAACATCAGTTTTAAAGCTAACTCCTTGCCTACTGAAGTTTCTATGTATTTTAATTAAGATTGACAGAAAAAATAAGAGTTACATTAATCTCCATTGCATTATACAAATAGTTTAACTAGTGTGAAAGAAAAACCTAAATACAAAAATAAAAAACCAGTTCAAAGAACATGAAAGAAATAAATATAAACATGGTCAAAATACTATTCTTTCAACTTGTCTGAGAATTTTCATATATATCTTAGCTGTGAGCATCACTGATATTCAAAAATTAACACAATTGTTGATTTCCTATAACTATTCATGTTTATAAACAAGTCTCTGTGTAAACATACACAAAACTCTAATAAACAGTGCAGTGCTTCAGAAAGTCTTAAGCACTAGTATCAGATTCTTAAAAATTTGAAATCTTTTAGTTTGCCAAGTAGTTTAGATTAAGGATACAGAAATATATCAAATACTCATTTGCAGTTTTCCATGCATCCTCTTCAGCCAAAAACAAAAGAAAAAAAAAATCCCTAACTGCACAATGGCCACAGTATAAAGGAAATTAATAATCACTAAGTAGATTATTTTTATTTCTGAAATATAGTTCTTGAAATACATTTCTAATTCCCTTCAGATTATACTCAAGTTGAGACTAATACAATATCATAAATATAAATGCTCATATTCATATAGCATTGCAAATTATTGTTCTAAAGATGAAATTTGTTTTTAAAAAGCCACAAATTTACATCATCCATGGTAAGAAAACGTAGATTCATCTTTCTCGTGGCCATATCATTGCAATACTTACATATATTTTTTCTTTTTTTTAATCCTCACCCGAGGACACTTTTGCATTTATCTTCAGATAGAGTGGGGAAAGAGAGAGAGAGAAACATCGATGTGAGAGAGACACATCCATTGGTTGCCGCCCATACAACCCCAATTTGGGCCGAGGACAAACTGCAACCGAGGTACATGCCCTTAGCAGGGACCAAACCCGGGACTCTCTGGTCTCCGGGCCGACGCTCTAACCACTGTGCCAAACCGGCCAGGGATATACATATATATATACACACACACATAAAAGTCACTTCAATCCCAAAGTCAAGAAAGTTTTTCTTCCAAAGATACTTAATATTTGTATATCAGTGGTTATATTTAAAATCAAATATTTTTAACAAGATACCATTGATATCCTTAATTCATATTACAGCCTTATACGAAGTGTTTGGGAAAATAAGTTTCTAATTTTCAGAAAATATTGATAGTTAAAATAAAAGAAACTAGGTTATAATCATTTATAATAAAGCCTTAACTACTTGTAAAGGTCTATGAACATGTTACAGCTTTGTCTTATAATTTTTTTAGATTTAACAAGGATCAGAAGGGGGAGAGTTGAAGGTAAAAAAAAAAGTACCTACTTTGCTTTTTTATTAACAAAATAATTTATTTAATTTATGATTCTCCTACTTACTTCCATTTCAATTCCCTGGCAAACACCTAAGGCAATTCTATACAGTCCTTTTTTAAATGAATCATCAACAGAAAAAAAAAAAACATATCCTTTGGGCTTCAAAACAGTTGTCATTATTACAATTTTATAGGACTCCACAGTAGAAGCAATTTAATTACCTCAAAAAGAAAATCCACATTTGAAGATTTATATAACATCGTTTTTTCAAGATACATTTCTGAAAAAAATATACTTAATGAATTATGTAACAAAAACAAAACAAAAATCTCATGATGTTTCCAGTTTTAATTGGAAAAACAAAAATCTTGAAACATATACATACATTTAGGAGGATAAAGAGGATGGTTTGACAATATCTATTAGCATTAGTGATTGGTTTTATAATTCAGATTTTTCTTGTTAAATCTCAAGTTCCCAAGTTTATCTAATTTTTTTTTCTGTATATTTACCCGTTTGAAAAATATCAATATTAAATGACTAAAACAAAATGGTCTAGAAAATTATTTGTATAGATTCTTGGCTGAAACATCTCATTTCTAAAATTGGCATTCCAATGCTAGTTTGCCCATGTTTACCCATATAACAAAATGCCCTCTCTGCTCTATACTTAACTGAGTACCGTATTATTATTATTCTTATATTTAGGACATAAAGCATCAAAACAAAACTACCACTTACTGTACCAAAATCCATGTTCACATGACTATATAAGAAGTGACCTCCAGAGATGAAAAACATTGTAATCATTATGATGTTTAAAAGGCATGTTTTTATTACTCTTGCATGTATTCTGGCCAAAAATATTGAGCAGCTAATTATGCTCTTCCACACATGGTCACTGAGTTTACTACCACAGTTTTAGTGCAAAGAAATATATTTGAAAAGCCACTCTACAGTAATTATGGCAAGGCTCATTAAAATGCAGAGGTAAAGATTCCATTTGTAGAGAAACTTAGAAAATAATGTTTGAAAAGGAAAGGTGTTTCATTAGACTGAATACTTTTTGTATACTAAAAAATATATATAAACATTTCTTGAGTTAGTCAATTTTGATGTAGTATCATTTAGTGGTGATAAAGTTTGAGAGGTATGTTTAACAAACATTGTAATTGAGATTATAGTCTTAGGTAAACATTTAATACACAATGCCAAGATAGTTTCCTTTTTTTTTTTTTTAATATTTGTACCAAAAAAGTCATACATTTAATGTTGACATTTCTTCTTACCTGTATGCCTCAGATCAATAAAGTACTCTGCATTAAAATTTAAATCTTGAGACAGTAGTACAGCATTGAAAAAAATTGTAAAGCAGCTCAGATACATTGAACCCAGATTTTACATTTTCATCTGTCAAATTAGAATATAAAAAGTAAGCTTGAAAATCAAGGTGTAAAAGCTTATTCTTCCTCAAGAAAAAGTATGAACAATTTGAAAATGATCAACTAGTATGAATGAAACATTGTACATAGTTAAGTCACATTTAGTGGTTGCTAAACATACCACTCCCTCCTGGAAATTACGGAACCATCTACATGTGAAACTAAGTCATCTTCATTTTCGTCATAATGTTCATCATTGACGAACTTCATTCCCATTTTTAGATCTTCATAATAATCCATTGGTCTTTCAAATCTACTGAGATTTTCTACATTGTTCCACTGGGTTTTTTCAGGCTCTTCTAAATAGTCTTTCCGTATTAGGTTGTTCACTGGATTTTTGTTTTCTTTTTTTACACTGTCTGGGTAAGAATCAAGCTCATCTTGTTGAAGGACATCTATTTGAGATTCTTTTTGCATATCTGATGGTGGAATGTAGTTCTTGGCAAAATAATCTCCACGAAACGTCCGTCTTCTCCTATAGCAGAATATTCCAGCCAAAACACTTACAAGTATTACGAAGAGAGCCCCACCCACTACACTAGCAATGATTGTGCCAATTGTGTCATCCTTAATTGTTGCCAAAGTTGACAATGGAAAGGGCAATTTTTTAACTTCTTTTGTTAAATCTTCGATGTCAGCAGTTGAGGGATGCCACTGAACTGTAGGCTGAAGGGTGGTAGTAGTAGGAGGATCTAATGGAAACAGTAAAGATAGACAAGACACAGAGAAGCAAAGAATGTCAATGCAGGCTGATTCAGCAGCAAGTTGAAAAGACAGCACAGTTAATGAATATATATTCATAGTAACAATAGTTTTTCATTCTTAATTTGATTTAAGATTAGAATGTAATGGTACTTCCATATATTTTTTAAAATGACAAAACTGACATTTAGTCAATTATCAATGAAGTAAAAGGAGTAAAAATTATGTACAGTATAAATCCTGAATTATTCTATTCCATGTTTAAATGTGCTATTGTACTCAAAAAAATTGTTTTTGTTGTCTTTAAATAAAGAGCATTACTTAAGTGTCCTATATACAGCTGGCTTAAGAATGATCATACCAAAATTAAATCAAATAAGTCAAATATAAAAGTTTTTAGCCAGTAGCACAAGGAAATTAAAAAGAAGAATGAAAAGAATTAAAGTAGGTTTTCTTAATATCCATTTTACCTAATGTGGTTTATTTTTGTAAGATCTGAACTTATTTATAAAAGAATGAAAAACTATAGAATCTTGTTAAGTGGTCACAGAATAAGCTGTTGGTTTAATAATTCTCTCAAAAATATTTTCCTCAAATAAAGAGAACGCTTCAATTTTTAAAAAGGACATATACAGTAATACCATTATTTAGTAATTAAAAAAATAAAAAGTATATTTCAACTGTGTTAGCCAAATGGGCTATTATCAAATGAGACTAAGAGACAAAGTAAAAACATGTAAACTCTAAAATGTTATAAAAATGTCATCGTTGTATCTATATCCCATGGGTAAAATATCTGAACACTTAGGAAATTGAGATATCAACCATATCTGCAAAATTTAATGTCACATTGTTTTAGCATTGAATCTCAAAAAAAAGTAGCTAATATTTTAGAGAGAACATTCTAATAATACTTAAATATTAGATGCAAATGATCCTGTGTATTGCCATTAGAATACAGAGAAAATAGCCATTAATATTAAAAAGCAACTAAACATAAACAGTAAAAATTAAAGATTGGTTAATTATCAATTAGGTGGTATCTGTAGGTCATGTTACACAAAACTCTAGAGTTTGAAAAAAGAATGAGATAAAAAAATCTTGAATTTCTTCATTGATAAAAATAAATGACCCAAATGGTAATCTCCTATAATTAATTTTTAAATGAGTGGTACTGATAGAGCTTTTAAAAAATGATTGTTAGAAAAATACTAAATCTACATGGGATAAGTTATTCTAAAATTACAAGCTAAAGAAAAATACTTACTGAAACAGGTTTCATCACGGAATGCCATATGTATAGAATGTGGTAAAAATTTAGCAAGTACAGTATAAAATTTAATAAGTACAGTTTAACTAATTTCCTATGAGTGTAAACCAATATAACAGGCAATCCTGTCAAGTACCTTGAAGTGAATAATAGTTATCATATTATATGTAAGTGAATCAAAAAAGAGTTTTAATTTGTGAGAACATATTCACTAGCTGAACAAATTTAATCTTAAAAAAGAAACAATTGTGGAATTGCAGGATCTTTTCTAGTATTAAAGTAGTAAAGCCTCATATAATCCAACTTCACAGAACCAGGCTATTAAAGAAATAAACTAAAAATTAGTAATTTGTAAAACAAGTCATGTATTTTCTGAGGAGGGAGGACTAATGGAAAAGTCAAGTTTTAAGTATTAAATGTCATCTTTACAATGATTCCCAAAGAAATTGTATTACAATAAACTGGTAGCATGTTTAAATAAAAGTACAAATCACCTAAGTAATTACTTTTAATTCACACATTTTTATATACATAAAAATTTAAACGTTTTTGATAGCTCTTAATGAAATGTATTTTTCTCATAACAGTGCATATACCTCAGCTCATACCAAGTATAAGACATATAACAACATTTTTGCCAAGTGTCCTGAAAACAACAATCCCTGCCATATACTATGTCTACTTGAATGTTCTTTATGTGAACAAAGACAGGTATCTGTCTACATCAGAATGATCAAAATACAGCTTTCAGAAAAGCTAACTACAAACAAACAAACAATAGTACCTCCAAAAAACACCTATTTAAAAATCTTATTTAATTTTCTCAGTGGTTCTAGAAATTTTTCACCATCCCCTCCCTCAACTAGTGTTAAAACCAGCACAGCCTATTAATGATTGCATGAAAGTGGGACTAGTGTTAATACTTGATTATTTTGTATTTTTAAGCAATGGACATATGACAATGCATAAGACATTTATTCATATTTTCTAATTCTTTCCCTCCTCCAAGATAATTACAGTGTAAGTCACAATTCATGTAGGGAGGCAGAAAGACTAGCATTTTGTAATCACCAATAGGTACTTATTTATCATGATTTAAAATCCTTCCCAACAGCATCTCTTATTTTTTCAGTCAGAATTTTTTTTATATTCTTTGCTGAACATGTGATAAATGAGTATACAACAAAGCAATCAACTATATATAGACTGAGTTCTCCATACCTAAATAACTTCTTAAGTTTCTTAATCAAATTAATGAGTTCTTCCAAATAGGAAAACATATAGGCCAATAAGGTCCCTGTAGCTATGAAGTATATTTTAGCATAATTATTGTGTTTAAAAAAATTAAATTGATTTTTTTCTTTTAGACTTTATATGAATTCTTTAAGTAAACAATATCTATGAACTTTGAAGTTTAAAGATTGCTAAGAATGTGTGAATTCTTAAGTCTGATTAATATATCTGGATCCTAAAATCAGTATGATTAGAAATTCAAGATTTGCACAGAAATGTCCTCTGAGTTTTAGAAATGGGAGAACTTATGTGATATATACAAATTGCTTCCCTATTCTCAAAGAGAAGTAAGAGGTATCAGGGAAAAAATACACACCAAAAGCAACTAGTAAAACACATAGTGGACAAGAGAGCCATCGTATTCCCATGAGTAAGAACTGAAGACTAATACTACAGTCTTGAATCAATCATCTCTTGTCCAAAATCTTATGCTTACCAATGTGAAAAATGTATAACAAAATTATGAACAATTTCTCTCAGAGATGCTAACTCTACTCTGTTCTGAGTAGAACTTTTAGTCTCCATCATAAGGTATTCTTTTTACAAATATTTTAAATAATCATTTCTAAAAATTATAAACATCGCCCTGGCCGGTTTGGCTCAGCGGTTAGAGCGTCTGCCTGCGGTCCAGAGAGACCCGGGTTCGGTTCCCGCTAAGGGCATCTACCTCGGTTGCAGTTTGTCCCCGGCCCTGGTTGGTCATGCGGGTGGCAGCCACTCAATGTGTCCCTTTCACATCGATGTTTCCCTCTCTCTCTCTTCCTCTCTCCCTCCCACTCTATCTGTACAAAAATGGAAAAATGTCCTCGGGTGAGGATATTAAAAAAAAAAAAAAAAGAAAATTATAAACATCAATTTTAATACTGAGGTAAAAAATTTTTTCCAATGAAAAAGATTAACTTTTTTTGATCATTTACTCTCTGTGAATTATAACCTTTTATTCTCATAAAAGCCTACTAGGCTTTATTAGTCATTTTGGATAGGCAGTATTGTATCTAGGTATCTCCAAGAAGCTCTTAGAGGATTTAAATAAACAGAATAGTGGACTGTATTAAACACATTGGATAAAAAAATAAAGTCTAATTATTGATGAGTACTTGAAAAAAAGCATCCTATATAATGCTATCTTTTTCTTAATTCCTTAGTGGCAATTAACTGCGATTTTTTATATTTATTGAAAATGAAATGATTTCCCCTTTTAGAAGACTTAGTAGAAAATGATGGAAAAATGTGTGAAGTTTATTACCAGTTATTTTGTCAAAAAATTAAGCCCTGGCCGGTTTGGCTCAGTGTTAGAGCATTGGCCTGTGGTCCCAAGAGACCTGGGTTCGGTTCTCACTAAGGGCATGTACCTTGGTTGTGGTTTGTCCCTGACCCTGGTTGGGTCAATGTGTCCCATTTACATCGATGTTTCTCTCTCTATCTCTCTCCCTTCCACTCTATCTGAACAAAAAAATGGAAAAATGTCCTCGAGTGAAGATAAAAAATAAATAATAAAAAAAAAAGAGTTGCCTGACCCTGTGTGACTCAGTGGATGACTGACCCATTATCAACAGGTCACTGGTTTGGTTCCCAGTCAGGGAACAAGCCCAAGCTGTGGGCCAAATCCCCAGTGGGGGGCATGCAGGAGGCGGCCAATCAATGTTCTCTCTCATCAATGTTTCTCTCTCTCTCTCCCTCTCTTTCTAAAATCAATCAAGAAAAAACAAAAGAGTTAAATAAAATCAGATTCTGAATTTTTAATTCTTTCCAGATTGCTTTCTTCTCAAATTTATTCATTCATGTAACAAAAGTTGACCAAACATCTACTATGTGCTAATAAACATTATTGCAGATGAGGGGGGATGCAGTAGTGATTAAAGCAGAGAAATATCTCGCCCTCTTAGGATTTATGTCCTAGTTGGGGTAAAAAGAGGCAAGTGTATAAATAAAATATGTAGTATGTCACGTGGCAATAAGTATGGTAAGAAAAATAAGGGAGAGAAGGAAGGCAGAAACTAACAGAGAGGTGAGGAAAGAGAGGTCTCAACTTTAAATACAATTGTGAACGTGATATTTTATAAAGACCTAAAGGAAGTGAGAAAAAAAGCTATGAGGATACCTGAAGAGCATTGAAGGCCATGCAAACAGCAACACACAAAGATTCTGAGGCAGAAATGTGCCTGCTGTTTTCAAAGAACAGCAAGGAGGCCAGTGTGCCTGAAGCCAAGTGAGCAAGGGATATAAGAAATGAGGCCAGCCCTGGCCCGTTTGGCTCAGCGGTTAGAGCGTCGGCCTGCGGTCCGGAGAGACCCGGGTTCGGTTCCCGCTAAGGGCACGTACCTTGGTTGCAGTTTGTCCCCGGCCCTGGTTGGGTCGTGTGGGTGGCAACCACTTGATGTGTCGCTTTCACGTCGATGTTTCTCTCTCTCTCTCTCCCACTCACTCTATCTGAACAAAATATCGAAAAATGTCCTCAGGTGAGGATAAAAAAAAAAAAAAAAAAAGAAATGAGGCCAAAGAGATAATCTAGGACCAGAACATGTACAGTCTTATAAGTCACTGCACAGTCATTGTGGGTAAATGGGAAAGTTTATGGAAGATTTAAAAGAGAGGCATGGCATGATATGACATGCCTTTTAAAAAAAATCATTCTGGCTGCTCACCTGATGACAGGTTGAAGTAGAAACATTAAATAAATGGCTGTTCTGATAGTTAAGAAAGAGTTGCTGATGGCTTGGACCAGAATATTTGAAGTAGAAGTGGAGAAGTGGTAAGGTTCTGTATATAAAATAATGGGAGAGTTGACAATGATTTGGTGATAAGTATAAAAAACCAAAATCAAAGATAAGTATAAAGGATTATATCCTCAGACAAAGTAAGGACAGAGCTACCAATAAATGAAAAGAGAAAGATTAATGAAGGAGATTTGGTGGCAAGAGGCAGGAGAAAGATCAGGACTTCAGTTTTGAATGTTAAGTTGTAAATGCCTATTTACACTTCTACATAGGGTTAATAATCATTAATAGGCAGCTGGACACACAAGTCAGGAGTTCTAGGACGTGGACCCAGAATGCCAAAAGATATGAATTTAGGATATCACCAATGTAATCAGTATATATAAAAATGCCCAAACTGAAACTTACTTTATAATTGATTACATAATCATAACACATTGAATTTAAGATTTACAAGTAAGATTACACACCAAATTTGGTACAACAGAAAAAAAAAAGCAGGCAGTCCTTAAATGAGTATATTTTAAATGTTCATTTCCTGTGACTTTAGGATTCTTTTGTTCTTTAATAAAAAAAACCTCAAAACGAAGAAAGGGAGACTAGCATACTAATATTTAATCTTATTAAGATTTCCACCAAAGCAGTGCTATTGGAAGAAAGGGACAATTAGGGATATACATAGCTCTAAGCTTCTTGTAAGATTCATGCCAAAAAAAATTTGAGTCTGTATCATAATATTGCCAGACATTAAGTGGTAAATGAAGTGAACACAAATTGTTTAAATTTGAGAATAAATAAGTAAATGAATCGACTACGAATTGTGTAATATGAGGAACTTTTCTTAGATTGAGTGATCATACAAGGACTGAGAATATAACATAAAAGCAAGCTTAAAGTTTCTCTAAAATCTGTAATTGATTTAGTTTTAGATTGGAACAGAAATGAGTATCTTTATTACCTATTACAGAATTACCATACAAACCTGCATTTCTCAGGTTCTCTTCCTTTTGCCTTTAATTTTCCATGTGTTAAACATGAAGATTGCTGAATTCTTATAGTTAGTAAAGAGAGGCTCAAAATAGTTTACAGAATTTGTATAAATAAGAATTCCACTGACTATCATTTATAGCCATACCCAGGGAACAGTATATTTTTAGCTCTAACTATGTTTTATGAATATTCCAATTTATATTGTCAAATTAACAAAAACTTACACAGTGAAACAAATGGAATGTGAATAACCTAAGCTCTTAGTGGTTTAAGGACTAACCAATTAGAGACATCTTAAATTTTATTTCATTAGAACATTTTCAGTAGCATTCCTATATCACCTCACTAATCCAATATGGATTAGTAACATGAGTGACAATTTATTTAACAAGCAAGGTCATCAAAGTTGATACCCTATTTTATTTATCAGAACTTATGTGCAGAGTATACACCGAAAAAAAAAAAAAAAAAAACCCAGTGTTTGTTCTCGGTGTAAAGATAAAAGAACCTAGAATGGCATACTATACCTATAAAAGTAATACATCTATACTATTTAACTGTAAACTTAACTATATGCGTAGGTCTTAAAATGTAAATAAAGTTGTTGCAGACATTTTGACACATGTATTTCAGAAGGGTTACTTTATTATATCTTTTATTTGGAAAAAATCAGACTGAGGAATCTATATCTTCACAAGCATAAATTACCACCATGTTATTGTTATGACTGTCATTATAGGAATAACTCAAGTAACCCATTTTGCAAGTAGATAGTAACTTACCTGAAATGTAGATGACCTTTTGATCACTTCTTTGACCAAGGGAATTGGTCACTTTACAGACATAAACACCAGAATAATTGAAAGTCAGTGGATGGACAAAATGAAGAGTAGTGTCTGAAGCCAATAAGCCATCAGGCCAGTGTCCATCCAACCTAGATTTAAAAAATCATCAAATTATTTTATACATCCTCAGTCTCTATTCATTGATAGCTTTTTAAACAGGGTATTAACTTTTGAGACCTTAGTGAAAGAACCTGCATCCTATGGGTAAAATTCACTATGAAATGAAGCGTGTACTAAATTATAAATTTTTATTTTAATAAAGTTGAAATAATAGATAAACTCCATTAAGAAGTCTTTCAAAATATTAATTTATGTAAGTGTACTTAGGTCAACATATTAGAATGGGTGGGAAGAAGATAAAAAAATTATGTGATTTTTAAGAATCAACCAGAAAACTAGAAAATTAGAAAAACATTATTTGAAAGCACACTCATATTACCAAAGGATCAAAATAAGTATCCATGAATTATGGACCTACTCATGATATATCTAGTCTTTTTAATGGAAAGTCATCTCATTTAAGTACATGATATGTTTTAGCACTTTCTGTAACACATTAAAAAGCACATTTAATGCAGAACAAGTCTATACTAGGCCCCAACTAAAGATGGTTAGTTTTTAAACCACCAAGAAAAGGGTCTTCTTATAAAATAATTTCATTTGTAATGCGGAAATCTGTGACAATAGAAACCAAGGCACAATTTGGTATCAATAACTCTTTTTAAATGGTGCCTATACTAACTTGGCTAAAAGGTCCTATCTAGGATATTACTATAAACCACAATGGGAATAAAACTCCACTAAAAGAACTCTAAAACCATTCGTTGCAATGGAACTAAGTATACTGTTACACATTTTTCCAACCTCAAGGGATCAAAAAAACCTCACTAATAGGTCTTTCTTTTGAAATAGTTTCTAAAGGCCATAGGTTATTATTATTATTATTATTTTAAGAGGGTAAAAGTCACGTAAACCTATACACTTAATTACTATAGTCTGAGTTAAGTGGATCTTCATAAAGCCCATTCACTTCCTGACTGAGCCATCCAATATTTACCCTACTCTTCTCTGCTGATGTTGCTGAGATTCAAAGCTCAATATGATCTGACACTTGTTTTCAATGATCTGAATAGACAGTAGGAAACCAGTAACTAACTACAGAGAAGATAAAAACAAACAATAATAAAAAGGTACAAAGAATAATAAAAAGGTAGAATGAAGCAAGGAGAATAGGAGAGATGATTCTGTTCTTTGATCCTAAGGATAGTATGTAGAAGAACAATCAATAAAATATTTTACAGTTGCCAGTACTTTAATTTAGCAATGAGGAATAAAGGTAATATTGTAATGGTTAAAAAAACAAAAATACCCAACTTACTTCTTGAGAACTTTGAAAAGAACATTTTTTACAAACATTAGCTTTCAAAAAGTGAACTCTCTTATTAAGAGTGTAAGAATAAATATAAACTATATCTATCTTTCCAACTATCTCTACTTTAGGCCCAATATTCAAACCCCTTTAATTCTGAGAAATATAAAAATATCTTATAATCCTTTAAACTGTTTATTCAAATAAACCACATTTAGAAAAATCCAAGTATCACATTGAGCTTGTAACAAATGACATCCTAAGCACATTCTATGCTCTTGCACCTATGTTACATTATTTATGTCCTCTACCCTCACAAAAACTCTGTGAGGTACTATTATGACTTCCTCAAAAAAAGACACCTCCAAGTACAGACACTAGGGATTGCATAACATTTAGAAACACTCTTACCACACATCTAGACCAATGACTGTTTCCCACTTTTAAGAAAATGTAAAAAAGGCCTTTCCTACTTTTAAAACTGTATCTTTGCTAAAGGCAACAGATTGACCAAATATACTGTGTCCTTACACTCACAAAATCCCACCTAAAACAAGAGTAAAATAATTAAAACTATTAAAAACCTATGAGGAGAAAGAAAACAGGATGTAGAATTCATCACCTAGGATGTTTCATCAAACTTTTAGAAGACAGAAAACAGATGGAGAAAACAATGTATGTTTTAGGCCAGTGTTTCTTAATCAGAAATGATTTTTGTCTCCAGGGGACATGATGCATGTCTGAAGACATTTTTGGTTGTAGCAACAGGGGTAGAAGGAGGAAAAGAGGAGGGGAGATAAGGTGATACTGACTCTAGAGATTGGAGGTCAGGGATGCCATTAAACATCCTACAATTCATAGGACTGCCTCCCACAAAAAAGATTAATCCAGCCCAAAACATCAACAGTGCCAGGTTGAACAGCTCTGCTTTGGGCTGAAGAAGTGATTACAGGAGGCATATGGATGAAAGAGGAGCCAATTTGGTCCAAATAACTCAAAATGGATTTGGAGCTTGACTCACTGTACTACAGAAAGACAGAGTGAGGCAAGGGGCTAGAGGTACGAACATTAGTTGAAAGTTGAAAAAAACAAAACAATAGACTCCTCCCAACTCTCTACAGATACAGGCATTTATGTTTAGGCAGAAGAATGAAGGTTAATTCAATAAATAAACTGAATGGCCATGAAAAAAAGACTTCCACCCTTCCACACAGGTGACATCAGAAGCTTCCCCAGAGAAATAACCACCTCTACCTGATCACTGAGTGCTATCTACTAATAAGTAATCCCCAATATAGACAGAGTTTCCACTCAGCATTTTAACTTAATGCATCACTGTGAAATAACTAGACAACTGAGAAAATTAAGGAATGTCTACAAAATGAAAGACAGAAAACACATTTAAAAAATAGGAGACTAAGAAAGACAATGAGTATTTTTTTAAAAAGTTTCTGCAAAGAAAAGAATTCTAGTATCCCTAGGAAAATAACAAGATGACACCCATAAACTAAGAAAAGTATGCTACGAAAGTGAACAGAGAATAAAAAAATGCTCTTTAGAAAATAAAAGTATGCCCCAATTTTTTAATCAAGAGAGAGAAAAAAAACAGTCTCCTAGAAAGAACAATAAAAATTATTTGAAAAATAAGAAAGGATATTTAGTATACAATAGATAGAAATTCCAGTAAGAGCAAACAGAAAATAAAGAAAAAGAAGGGGAAATAAACAGAACAAAACAAACGAAAAAGAAAATTATCCACAGTTGATAAATACAACTCTGTAGATTAAAAGGACCCCTAAATATTGAGAAATATGAATGATAACCTTACTGTAATAGTTAAAATTTCATAATTAAAGAGAATTAAGGATATTCATAGTAAGCTATACAAGTAAAAACAAGGAATTATTAGTCTCAGGGAAAATAGCTTTAGACAAAAGAAAACAGAATTCCAATATACTCTTTAGCTCTCAGTAAATATTTACCTGTCATAGAGAGGCAAACAATAATTACAGAATTTAACTAAAAGTAGCTTAATCTCATTGGGACTATGAAAGGTAGGAATATGTATATGAATATATGCATGTGTGAAGGGGTAGATATAAAATTAAATTTTTACCGATCATAATAAGTAATACATAGACAGCATTAAAAATGACTAAATCAAGCAGCAGTTTAAGACCTATAATGGGAACTACCAGAAGGAATTGTTAAAATAGTCCGAGGAACAAGAACTGTGATCAGTAGGAAGGTGGGGAGATGTGGAATAGAAGAACACTTAAAAACCCTTCATTTATTTTAATTTTCAGCTATTACTATAATTATGTATTACATTGATAAAAGACAATTTTATGTATTTAACAATACTTTGCACTTTTAAATACATTCTTTTTAGAAGTATCTAACATTATTACCTGCTCCACACAGATTTGAAGGGTGGTGGATTTGCATCAGCATTACACTTGAGATTAACACCTCTTCTTCCTACAAACCAATTTCCATCATAGCCTGTTACTGAAACCTCAGGAGCATCTATAAAATAAATGCATGACAGAATAGATTATCTTTTATTAATAATAAATACAATATGCAATGATAAAGCATAAACATAGTAACTTAAACTTTAGAACAACAGAAATATTTTTTCCTTTTCTCAATACACATAGCCAATGTGGAAGACAGTACTCAATAAATATTAGTTGACCAAATAAGTGCCCAAACATGAAACAACTACCAATACATACAATTCTAGTTATTATATACACTGAATGCAAGAATATTTGCAAACCTATAATCACTAAAAGCAAAACTTAAGAGTTTTATTATGAAAAATGTAGATCCAAATGAAAATACATTAAGTACTAAATATGGTAATGAGACATGGCATTTAAGTATAAAGTCACTATATAAAACTATTTTTAATGAAATGTTTAATCTGAAAGGGAGTATCCCTAAAGAGATATCAAGTCAATTACAATTAATAATCTATGGGCACGTAGAGATGCGACACAAACTTTCTAAGACTATAATTATAACTGAAATAAATTACCTAAGACCTCAACTGTTCTAAAACATGAACTTGTATCCATTCGATGTAGCCAAAGGTCTTTTAGCATATGTGCAATATGATTAGTTAAATGAGCAACTGTCCTTGTCTACCAGCAATATAAATGTATACCTTCAAACTATAAAATCCAATACTAATCACTCATTCAACCACCATATTGTTTAGCTTCTTATAAGTGATAGGCACTGTTTTAGGTATATGGTATACTTAGAGACTCTATATTCATAAAATTTTATTTTAATAGTAATAGAAAACAAACATTTAAAAATGATTATACTAAACATATTAAGGAAAAGAATAGGATACTAAGAGAGAGGAAGACAAGAGGAAGGACCTAATTTAGATTGGGGATGAAGTTGGGAATGTCATGGAAGACTTCCATAAACAATTAATACTTACACAAGGTACAGGGACCTTCTATCTTTCTGTGAGCTACATAGTAAACTAGATAAATAGTACATTGTCAGATGGGAGGTTAGAGAAGGACCATGTCAGTATTTACACAAGAAAAACCGACCTACTGTCAAGCAAGGTTTTCAAAAAAGTAGAAAAAAATTAAACTTTCAGTAAGGTAACATTCCCTTAGTATTTTAAAAAAGAAATGCCCTTCTCTTATAAATACAAAGAATTAACAAACATGTTTGAAACTTAAAACTGGTACTAAAAAAATGCTGAAAGAACAGAATAGGTATCTGTAAGTTTAATTTCTTTTTAAAGGAGGAGGGGGAAGATATTAAAATATTCCCAAAGAATACCTCCAAATTTTGAGAGATGAATTTTGGATGTAAGATTTTATCTTCTTAAACTTTGTTCACATGTTTCATAGGTCCCAATTAAGAGGGAAAAGTCGTAAGTACTCTAACAACATTTTAGGAGCATGCCAATAAATCTAAATGATAATTACAAAGTCTTATATTAGAAAAAAATATTTTATATATGTACACTGCATTCAAGCAAACAAAAAATTAATAACATCTAATACAAACTGAAGAAAATTTCAGTTATGATTAGATACAGGTAAAGAAAAAATATATGTGAAAAAATAGTAATAGTACTTACTATTAAGATCTAAATCTTACAAGAAGGGAAAAGTTAAGGGTCTCTAAAAGCTAGGTAGGAAAAGGGGGAAAAATTTAATTGGATTCTCCTGAGAAGTAAAAAGAAAACAAGGTATTTGTATTCAAGAATACAATGGTAATAACATTCACATAGATATCTTCTCAAGTTTAATCCTGTAAACATATTTTTAAATCCTTATAATTAGCTTTAGAAACCTTTACACTAAGTGTAATAAATATGTGAAATTAAAATTCCATGCATCATACAAAAAAAAGAGAAAAACAAAACAAAACTTCGTAAACCTGTTTACATTTATGATCTGTGCATTGATGGAAATGACAGTAGAACCTAAATACTTCTCCTAATTTTACCTCTAATTGGCTTAATTTTCATTTTCTTTGATGTAAGTTATCTGCACCATCAGTTTTTCACTTGCTCAAATTTTAAAATGCTACAGAAAGAATGTAAAGGAAAAAGTACACATATAGACACAAAAGCATAAAACAGAGTATCTCATAACAAAAAAAATACAAGATGGGCCAACTTTGAATTTTATCTATAATGATTATTAGCCCAATGATGTGTTTAAAATATTGTTTTACCTACAAGAATCTTACATGATCAATAAAACTGGATTAGAATATTAAAAAAACAAGATTTTTTTTCCCCCAAAATAGTGTAAATGCATCTAGGAAGTAAGATTCATTCTTTCTGAAAGATGAAAACTTCATGAGTGGCATCAATAAAACTGAATTACATCTAAAATAACAGGATTGGAGTACTGCACATTTTGAAGTATAAATTTCCATGATTCGCTTAAGTCCACCTTATTTCTAAGGTCTAAAAAAAGATAAATAACTTTTTAAATAAAAAGTTAAATAATTCTAAGTTAGAGAACAACTTAAATATCACTGTCCATCTTTACAAACTGATTAAACATGTTCTGGTTAAATAAAATTTCCACAAATGTTTTTTAAATTAAGGAGAAAAAATGTCAATAAGAAAAAACTGTAATAATTTCCAAATACCAAATGTTCAAACTAAACACAGTTTGATACAGAATTCTAAAGGAAGAAAATAAAAATAAAACACATCACATGTTTAAAAAAGCAGATGTTACCATTTACTTACATTGTATATCTAATATGAAAGAATATCGGATGTCCTTTTCCAAGGCTGGATGTTTTACAACACAAGTAATTCGCCTTCCTCTAGCAAATCTGGTTGGAAACAGCTTATACTGGCTGACAATTGTAGCTGTTTCATTTGGAAAGGAAGTTGTAGTGGATTCCATCTCACCAAGATCACCTTCCCAGTTAATATGTGCAACTGGTTTCCCAGTGGCTGCGATACAAATGGCTGCTACTGTTTCATTTCCTCCATCAATTAAAGAATCTGGCCCTTTTATCAGGCTCACAGTGGGTTCAACTGTTCAAATAAAAAAAAAAAATTGTTACATTTCAATTAAGAAGGTATATATATATATATATATATATATATATATATATATCCTTCCAAGCCCTATCTAGACATATTTCATAAATTGAGAAGTAACTGCATATAAAATCTACACACACACTTTTAGGTAATGCCAGCATCAACTGGATTCTGGGAACAAGAGAAGATCATGAACCAGAATAAATAAGAAGCCAAGGTTTTACATAACCATTACAAAGATGGATCTCCTAATAGAGATATACTTTTCTTTATAGGAACAGTGAGTCCTTCCCAAAATTAGCATATACCAAAAATTCCTGTAAAATGGACCATAATTTCCATTATGAAATTAAAGGTTTTATTATTCTGAAAGGAAAAAGTAGTTTTAATACATCATGCTTCATTTTTGCAGCAAAAAATATTTAAACAAAAAATATTTTAAAATAAGTTACAAGTATAGAAGCAACACTGTTAAAAAGGAATGTCACTAATACCTGTTCATTGAAATGTATATGTCATCTATTTTTTCCTGGTATAAGAAAGCTCCCCATACAGACTGACAATCCCCAGGAGAGGGGGTGGTGGGAGAGGTAAACCACAGAACTTATATGCATGTGTGCATGAACAATGGACATGGACAACAAAGCTGGAGACAGGGAGAGGAGGGGGGGAGGGGGAATCAGTGGGGGAAAAAGGAGAAACATCTGTAACAAAAATAAATTAATTAATTTTAAAAAAAGGAGGAAAAAAAAGCTCCCAGAGGAAAAAAGTAACCTTAATGTTAGACACTTTCTATCAAAGGCCTTCAATCATTTTTTTGAATTTCCCTTAAAAACTGATAAACACTACTACCCAGATGATCCCTAAGTTTCTCTAACTTTGATATAAGGCTTAACTCTATTGTTTCTAACCACCTGCCTGGTATTTTTGGCCTATATATCTTCAAACTCAATAAACCAAATGCTGAACTATCATCTACCAATCCCTAACATCTGTTTTTCAAAGAAATGCCCATTTAAATTAATGGTAACATAATTTACCTGATTACCACGGTTCTAGACCTGTTACTGTTCAAATCTCCCTTGTTTCTTATATCCAGTCAGTTACAAAGATCTGGTAGTTATTTCTTTATAATAGTTCCCTTCTTCAGTCAAGTGGCAGAAATTAGTAAATTAACCTCAAGCCTTCATGGCCTCATGGCTGAGGTATAATTTCAGGACCTTTTCATTTTAATTCATCAAAAACACCAGACCAATCATACTGAATCACAACTTTTATCACACTGCTACCTAACTCTGGTCTGAGTTAGTCATCCCTCTAAGCAAGGTGAGAAGGTGGTCAGAGGAGTCTCTCTCAAACTTTCTGTGCACGCAAGTCATTTAGGGATCCTGATACAATGTAGATCACTCAATAAATCTGAGAGGAGTCTAAAATTCTATATTTCTAACAAGCTCCCAAATGATATCAATGCTGCCAGCTATGAGCCACACTTTAAAAACAGCTAGAAGAGGTGAGAAGCAGTACAGCATTGTGTACTAAGTTCACATTGCCAGTAACAGAAAACTCAAATTCCCCATCCAAAGATCCATGTTACTTTAATGTGGTCCTACCTTACCTTTCTAGCCTTTAATTCTTGTATGTTGAATAAATCCACTGAACAATCAACAAATTATTCAGTGGTTCCACTGAGGTTTCTCAACAGTGAGTAATCTCTACCCTTCTCCCTCAGAGAACTCTTGGCAATATCTGGAAATATTCTAAGTTGTCACAACTGAGGGACTGCTACTAGCATCTAGTGTGTAGATGCTACAAATGCTGCTAAACAGTCTGTAATAATAAAGAGGATAGCACCCCACAACAAATTCCAGCCCTAAATTTCAACAATGCTGACTTGGAAGAAAATTTTCCCTAATATATATTGTTTTCTGACTGTCTCCATTGGCTCACTTACTCTCTCCTATACTTCTTTCCTTTTTGTCTACCCCAAAACCTATCCACCATGCAAGAACTGGTAACTATCTTTTTTCTACAAAACATTTCTAAACTGCCAAGTTCACCAGCCCATTCCTATACCATTCTTAAATAACATTAAAGGCTTTAGGGATATAATTTTAAAGTGTAAAGTTGCAGTCCACCACATGTTTATAGTGAAAAAAAAAATGTAATAAGCAGTATGGTAACAGCTACAATAAATATATGCTCAAGATACAAAGGCTTTCCAAAGAATGTAGTCTGATGAATATTAGTTAAATAGGAGAATGCAGGAAGTGAGACACAGGAGGAAAAAGAAGGCAATCCAGGCAGGGCAAACATGTGTAAAAACATACACAGGTGTTAACAGAAAACTACAAATAGTTTATTAGGATTATAAATTTTGGGTTCTTGGAAAGGTAGAGCAAGAAATGAAATAGGTGAAGTTAAAGAAGTAGGCATGGGTAAAATTGTGATTAGTCTTACACTGTGAACAGTCTTGAGTTTTAAACCATTGAGTACTGTATTAATTTAGAAGAAATTCGTAAAATTTAAAGCAAAAAAATTTATTCTCATGAGCTCTCTCTTCCATATAATAACTATTTATTATTTTCTTGACACTGAACTTTTGTGACCTTGTTTTGTCCTGATGGCCTGTAATTGATTTTTCAGATATTTATGCCTTGTCTTTCAATCAAAACATTTCTCAAAAACACCAATTTTGCAAATGTAAGTTATATTTCTCCACAACTCCTGGGACAGTGTCTTAAACATATAAAGTCCTCAAATGTTTAATTATATTTCTATTCTTACATACTTTCTCTCAATATGAAAAATATATATAATAAATTTGGACAAAATTGCTTTCCTGCATTAAGAGACCCTAAAATTATGGCATTAAATATTAAGGGCTGTGTACTTGTTTGGTTCTCTGAAAGCAGACACGGAGACCAAGTGAGGAGTACTAAAGGCTTATTAGGGAGTAACATCTGAGAGAAAAGTGAAGAAAAAGGATAGAGTAGGGGGAGCTATCAGCAGACCTGACAAAATCCCTGACAGGTAAACAGGCAGATTTGGAGCAAAGACTGCCCCCATTAAAGGAGGTCCACTTTAGCCTGGCCAGTGCTGCTCAGTGATTGAGTGTCAAATCATGCACCAAAAGGTCGCTGGTTCGATTCCCAGTCAAGGCACATGCCCAGGTTGTGGGCCAAATCCCCAGTGGGTGGCATGCAGGAGACAGCCAATTGATGTTCTCTCTCATCAATGTTTCTATCTCTCCCTCTCCCTTCCTCTTGCTCTAAACTCAAAAAAGAAAAAAATTTTAAGAAAATGTAGTAAAGGAGGCCCACTTTAGGTGGAAATGTCTAAGGTGCTATAACTCTTTAATCCTTGTTATTTTATTCAAAAGTACTCGCCAGCATTTCTAAATTGGTTTATCTTTCACTGCAAGTGGCTATCTTCACACAAATATATTAGCTGATTCTAAATTCCACCATAAACTTTAACTTTTTTCAGCCAGAAAAATAAGACCTTTCATTAGGAACTACAGCCCAGGACTCAAATAACTATGCAAATTCATGATGCAGAAATAAAATGTTTGAAAAACAAATCTGAGGTGTCAATGGATCCAAGAAGAAAGTCATTTTTAAAAATGGAAAAGCTATTTAAAGGTGGTAATTTAATTACAAGTTGAAAATTTGAGGGAAAATAATGAAACTAGCATAGCAAAGAAACTCAGCACTTAATGTAAATAAAAAAACACTCTTTCATTTAAAAAGTAAAATAGCTATGAACTACATCAATTATATAGATAGGTAAGTAGATAGACAAGATTTTGTTTAATTTACGACCCTAGATTCTAAGAATTTTAATACAGAACTTGAAAAACTACCTTTGAAATTCTTTTATTTTAAACCTACATTTATATATAATTTCAATAATTTTAAATTATTAAAAATATTTTTAGTATAATCCTCACACCACCAAAATATATAATTTAAGCATACCCACCTAATACAGTTACGGTTGTAGAGGACTGAGCATTTCCAAGTGGGAATGTAACAGCTTTGCATATGTATTTTCCAGAATCAGAAAATCCTATGTTATGTAGAGTAATTGTTGCATCATTAAGTGAATAGTTTTTAAACAAGACTCTTCCCTGATATTCTCCTTGAACAGAGAATCCATATTGAGGATGATGAACTGCAACAGTCTGTGAACTTTTGCCATGTACCTTTTCCCAAGAAATTTGGGTTATAGTTTCATTTACTTCAATTAAACACTTCAATGAAACATTCTTTCCCCATACTGCTGTGACATGTGGCTCCACAATAATTGGTCCAGCTAAGGCACCTATGAAAAAAAATATACATAGTTCTTAAAATACAAAAATGTTACACATACACAAACACAGATTTATAATTGAATAACAGTGCTAGATGTTCCCAAGGCTGGATATAAGACCCAAAGAGTAACTCTTAAATAAAGCAAATACCTGACAGTATATGTTGCAATGGAAAAAGAAACAACCACTAGATTAGGCCAAGAGAAGTTTAGAAACAGATCCTTACCCACTCAAGTCTTCAGATAAGATCCCAGCCCTAGCTGACACCTTAACTGCATTCTCGTGAGACTGAAACAAAGAACCCAGCTGAGCCATGTCTGGATTCCTGGCCCAAAGAAACTAAGAGATAATAAATGTATGTCTTCTAAAGCTACTAAGCTTTAGAGTAACTTATTACTCAGTAATAGATAACTAATACTTGCTATAATACCAAAGTATCTTCCTTTGAAGGTTCCTGCTATCAAAAATCTGCCAGAAAACATTAAGTTAAAAAACAAAAATGTGAAATCAATTTTTCCATTTCACAGATGAAGAAAAAAAATGCCACAAGTTGCCTAGCTGGTGTGGCTCACTGGCTGAGCATCAACCCAAAAGGTCACCGATTTGATTCCCAATCAGAGCACGTGCCCAGGTTCTGGGCCCAGTCCCCAGTGAGGGGCATGCAGGAAGCAGCCAATCGATGTTCTCTCTCATCGATATTTCTATCTAAACATCTAAAATCAATAAAGAAAAAATATTTTTTAAAAAATGTCACAAGCAAAAGTTAAAATGACATCAAACTTCTCCCTCATAATACTGATTTCCTTCCTAAAAAGCAATGGATCAAATCTGAATCATTTTAAGAGAAATAAGACTGATATGCATGAATACTAAAGTCAAGTAAGACACTGATCATTGACAACTATATTAAAACATAAACCATAGTTCTTAAGATAGTTTAAAACTCACATATATATCCTGACAAAATAAATTCTCAAGCTAAGAAATAAACCAACATAAGCACTCAGAATGGAAAATACAAACAATAAACAATACCTTCAAAGTTTAGAGTTATGTCTAGATAACATTTTTAAATGAATACAAAAAATGCAGAACAGTAAGTATCTCTTAAAAGATAATTAAGAAAAACGTGCTTAGATATGTTTAAACAGTTCTAAACAACAAAAACTTTACAAGTATTATTTCCATGAACCTTTTTGAGGAAAAAAAACAACATAAATAAATGAATTAATTCATGAAAAATAAGAGGACAGACTCAGATAAGAAGGCAAACCTTACCATCCAAAAAAATGACTGAGGATATTACGAAAAAGTACTAACAATTCTTAACAGCTATGAAAAAAAAGGTTTTTTTAAAGCATTGCCTCATAACAAAACAAAACAAAAAAATATCAAGCTCCAAAAAGTTTACCACCATGCTCTAAACATGTTTTCAAATGTAGATAATTAATAAGCTTTTAAAATTAATCTAAGACATATAAAACATATAAGTATTCTAATGTATTTTAGCAACCTATCATAAGCCTGGTATTAAACCAGAAAATATATAGGCAATAAAAGAGCAACTTATGAATATATTAATTAAAATTTTTATATATTATGAAATAATACCCAGGTCTGTATCTAATGAAAAAGACACCATGAGCAAGTAGAAAACAGTAAGAATGTAAAAATATATTGAGGTTACTCATCACACTGAAATCTCACACAACTTTCTTATCTGATGCTGAAAAAGCATTTAATAAAATTTAGTGTTTATTATCTGATTTTAAAAATCTGAGAAGGATTCTTAATAATAAAGATGATTCTTCTCAAATGGCCATCACAATAAAACAGAAAAAAGGGGAGCATAGCTATTAAATAAGAATCAAGACTAGATGGTTTACTACCATTATCATTGTTAAAACAGAGAATGAAAATTCCAATGCAAGGAGATAAGAAAAAGAAACAGAAAAGTAAATATTAGAAAGGAACAAATGATCATTGTTTGAAAGATCTATTACCTGAAAAACTTAAGAAGGCCAAGTAAAAGGCACTAGAATCAATAACGTGGTTGCTTACAATGCATGCAAAATATAAAATCAACATGTTAAAATTGGTGATAACCTTTACAAATTTATTGCAGAAAAAAAATTAATATTTGAAAAATAATAATATTTTAAAAACCCATATATAAAGTTGAAAAAAACCCCATAAAACTGAATGACTGACTTGAATAAATAAAAGATATGTCATATTACTGGATGAAAATACCTGATACTACATAAACATCAAATTTCCCCATATTAACACACAAATTCAATGCAACCCTGATGAAAATTCTTTAAACTACACTAAGAACAATAGCTAAGAAATGTTTCAAAAACAACAAAGGCACAGTTGGAGACTGAAAAATATTAAAGTAAAAATAATAAAAAAACTTTATATTAATATCTTAAAATAATGGAAACCACACAGACCAACATATATAATGGCACAGAGTATATAAATACAGTTAATTATTTTATATGAGTGGGGAAATAATGAATTAATCAAGATATGCTAAAAGGAGAAGAGCTAAAAATTTCGAAATCGATCCGTGCTTTACACTAAACACACACACACACACACACACACACACACACGCACGCAGTTGAACTGAAGATCTAAATGTAAAAAATTAGCCATATATGTATGTACACATATTATCTGTATATTCCGTCAGATAATATTAGTTACTCCTAGAGAATGGGATTACTTAGGGCTAAATAAAGAACTACCCATTTTTACATTGTGGTCTTCTCTGATGTCAGAATAATTTACAGTAAGTAATTTTCATCATAAAAAGCAAATTAAAAATAAAAAGAATTCTCCTCCGTGGAGGTGAAGAGACAGGATAAAGAAGGAAATTCTGTTCGCTTGCTCCCAGCACAAGACTAGAATTGAGCCTAAACTGCTGAACATTTGACCTGAAAATAGCCAACTGGAAATACTTTGAGTGGGGAGCATCGAGAGAGGACAGAAGAAAATGCAAAGTTGGTGAGCCAATTCGCACAACTGTGCAGCACAGCTGGGAAGACTGAAGGAAGATGCAGCAGTGCAGCTTCTGGCCCTGGGAGCAGAGGTACTCTGGGAAGGGAAGCCCACATAGCACAGCACAGAGAGAATCAGAGGTGTTTAGCCCACCGGCGGGGACTCAAGATAGCATTATCACGGATACAAGCAAGTGCTTGGTTACTCCAGCAGACTGTGGTCATTGGAAGGGGCCACGAAGCAGAACTGTGGGACTGAGGAGGAGTCTGAGATGATTACCCAGCAGTGAATCTGAGGAGCTGAAAGAACTTTGATGGGGGCTAGACAGAGTACCTGGGGAAAGAGGCAGGATCCTTCCCAGCTCAAGAGAATGGGAGGTGTCTTTTCACCCACCCATGGAACAGCTCTGGGCTGTAAATCGGCACCCCAGCAGCTGGGCATGGCAGCACTGAGGATTCAGATATCTGGCCAGGTGGGAGCCTGAGCAGAGGCCTGGCCCAGTGAGAGCAGGCCACGCTGAAAGATTAGAGAGCCAAGAGAGAGGACCCAAATAAATAAAATCAGAAACAAAAGAGGTAAAGTAACAACTGACGCCACAGAAATACAAAGGATTTTAAGAAAATACTATGAACAACTATATGCCAACAAATTGAACATACAAGGTGAAATGGACAAATTCCTAGAATCATATAATCTTCCAACAAGTAAGAAAACCTTAACAGACCAATAACAACTAAGGAAATTAAAGTACTAATAAATAAACTCCCAGCAAGCAAAAGCTGTGGTCTAAATGACTTCACAGAGGACTTTTACCAAACATTCAATGAAGAACTAACATTTATTCTCAAACTATTCCAAAAAAATTCAAGAGGAAGGAAGACTTCCAAGATCTTTTTATGAGGCCAGCATAACCCTAATTCCAAAACCAGAATAAAGATACAACAAAGAAAGAAAACTACAGGCCAATATTCTTCATGAACATGGACGCCAAAATCCTCAACAAAATATTAGCAAATCGGATCCAGCAATATATTAAAAATAACTATTCACCACAACCAAGCAGGATTTATCCCAGGGATGCAAGGCTGGTACAATTTTCACAAATCAACAAATGTGATATACCACATAAACAACATGAAAGATAAAAATCATAGGATCATATCAATAGATGCTGAAAAAGGTTTTGACAAAACCCAGCACCAATTCTTGATAAAAACTCTCAGCAAAGAGGGAATAGAAGGATCATACCCCAACAAAATAAAGGCCATATATGACAAACATACAGCCAACATCATACTCAATGGGCAGAAAATAAAAGAATTTCCTTTGCGAACAGGAGCAAGATAGGGATGTCTGCTTTCTCCACTGTTATTCAACATAGCACTGGAAGTCTTAGCCACAGTGATCAGATGAAAAGAAAAAATAAAAGGCATCCAAATTGGAAAAGAGGAAGTAAAACTGTCACTCTTCAGATGACATGATGTTGTACCTAAAACCTAAAGACACCACACACAAAAAATCTACTAGATTTCATAAATGAATTCAGTTAAGTAGTAGGATAAAAAATTAACATCCAGAAATGAATGGCATTTTCATATACCAATAATGAACACTCAGAAAGAGACACTAAAAAACGATCCCATTTACCACAGCAAAAAAAAATAACTAAGATATCTAAGAATAAATTTAACCAAGGAGGGAAAAAAGTTGTTCTAAAAACTACAGGACATTGAAAAAATAAATGGAGGAAGATATAGAAAAGTGGAAGCAGCCCTGGCCGGTTTGGCTCAGCGGTTAGAGCGTCGGCCTGCGGTCCGGAGAGACCCGGGTTCGGTTCCCGCTAAGGGCATGTACTTCGGTTGCAGTTTGTCCCCGGCCCTGGTTGGTCGTGCGGGTGGCAGCCACTCGATGTGTCCCTTCACATCGATGTTTCTGTCTCTCTCTCCCTTCCTCTCTCTCCCTCCCACTCTATCTGTACAAAAAATGGAAAAATATC